TATATATATATACTTTGCTCAGATTCTTCTAAAGGGTGCTCTTATTTGTAGAGCTATGATTATACTATTAGGCAAGCTGTGTGAATTTGCTTTAGGAATTTTTGCTGATTCAATAAATTTGCAGACTATCCTTTAATGTGGGTTCTTATCTGTAAAATTAAGATTATTCTATTGGACAAGTTGTGAATTTGCTTGAGGAATTTTTGATGATTCAACAAATTTGCAGACATTCTTCTATAGAGTGCGCTTATTTGTTTAACTATTATTATTTTGTTGGACATAACACATTTAAATATCTTACATAATAACAATGAAATGGATTTTTTTAGCTAATAAATTGTACTTTTGTGAAAAATTAATTGACTTAAATTAATCCTCTACTCAGTTGTAGTTGCCTTGACGCAATGCGATCTATTTAAACGACCAGACAACGTTTTGTGGGTTGATGAAGGCGAACGAACTCACGAATCTTGTCTGATTCAGATGAGGAAGATGAAAAGGAAGAAGTTTAATTGGCACTAGATTATTGTTTTGGAAAATTGTGAATTTGTATTATGGATTTTCGAAAATTACTCAATCTTGTCACCATGATTATGCTTTAGGGCTGAAGTGAAAATTTGAAATGTTTTATTTCAATACAAAATAATTAAAAATGGTTTTGTATTGATAAATCAGTTAAATTAATTATTTTATTAGTTAAACAACTACTGAAAAACAAGCTAATAAAATAACGAAGTAAAGATCTCTTGTGGGAAAAATAAGCTTCCTACAACAGGGAATGAATTGTCGATATTTAAAGCAAAAAGCTGGGGGGGGGGGAATCGCAATAAAGCACTTAAATGCAGGGCTCGAAAAACCGCCCGTCCTCGGCGGTCAAAAATTCCCCCCGCGGACAACAAATTTCTCGAATCAAACGTCCGCGAGGACGGCCATTTTCCCGTTAATGTTCGTGAGCAATTTATATAATTGTTAGTAATAAGTATATAAATTTTTTTTATTTATTTAGAAGCGACGGGTTAGTTTCCAAGGAGGACGGGTACATTGTTGGACAAGCCGTCCTCGGGGACGGGTAAAATTTCGGAGTTTTTTCGAGCTCTGCTTAAATGTGTGATAATTTTCGAGCAAATAGAAGTTATGAAAAAAAAAAAAATTATTGTTAAATTTATAGCACAAGGTGCAAATATCAGCACGTTAAATGTTAACTCCGTAATTACATTTTAGAGGATAGTAGATCTATCAACATGGTTTTATTTACTACAAGTTTAACAGTTAATAATCGAATCGTAAGTTTTTTTTTATTCCATTTTTTTTTACGCGCTTTCGTAATTTCAAGTTTCTACGTCTTATAGATTTCGAGCAGTAAAATAAACAGTAGCTTAAAGCAAAAAGAAAAATAAATAAATAAATAAAAAATTATAATAATAAAGAATTTAAAAAAAAATAAAAATAATAGAAGCAAAATTCTAAAATAAGCTTCCAAAATTGCAATAACTTTTGAACTAATTGGAATGTAGGAAAAAGCTTAGTGTTTAGCTCATATTGGTGATGTGTAATAACAGGCATTTCCAGATTAGAGGTTATAATACAAAATAGTACCTGGTCCAAAATAACAGGTCTTAAGAAAACATTTTAAAATTTTTTTTTATTTGAAAGATAGCTCAGAATGGCAAGTATTTTCGTAACGGATGCATATTTTTTCTATAATATAACTATGTTGTCAGCTGTTAGGATAATAGGAATTTTTTTTTCTTTCTCTCTCTCTATATATATACATATATATTTGATTAAGCTTTACAAATTTGCAAGAGCTAATGTTCCATAGGTTAAAATTGATCCAGGAAATGCTCCATAAGTTAAAATTAATTCAGGAAAAGTTACATGGGTTAAAATTGATCCAGGAAATGTTCCATAGGTTAAAATTGATCCAGAAAATGTAACATAAGTTAAAATTGATCCAAGAGAATGTTCCATATGTCAAAATTGATCCATTCTAGGGATAAATTAATTAAACAACCTTTATACCAATTTTTTTTTCAAAACTTCTTTATGAATGCTTTTCGCTTATAATTTTCAAATATCCCACCTATTTACATATAGTAATAGTTAGATTTAATACTTTTATAATAACAAGATGCCATATCCCTCCTGGACATCTCTGTATATCATAAATATACATTATTGCTCTTTTTTTCTCCCATCATCCTAAGTCATAAAAACCGAGATCCTAAATTGAAAGCTAAGCAATCATTACCTCTCATAGGCATCAATTACACTTCATCTTTATACCTATTATCGTGATGGCATTAACTCGACGAATGATTAACGTTTTATTTAATCAAGTGTGCTATTTTTATTATGTGCCTTAGTATTCTATAAATAGAACTTATTCTGCTCGCGAAGCAAAGGTCTGTTTTCTCCACCGTCTGCTGAATAGTGTCTCTTTCTTTTTTTGGCGGTTTAGTTAAAGGAAACTATTTTATTTCATAACCGCCGTTGAACAGGCGACCCAATTTTGAATTTATGGCTACCAATATTTAACTCAGTGGGCTTGTAATTTTGAACCCAGTCCAGGAGACATGGAAACTCCTGAACCAAATAGTGGGGGAAATTTTGCCTTCGTGGAGGACTTTTTGAAGATACTAACAAACATTGGCGTTATACGGAGAGGTAAACCACAAAAACCTCCCACGATTAACCGGAAGAAAAAAGGAACAAAGTCTAACCCAAGGGTAGCTATGGTGATCAATATCGACCCCTGTGGGTCGATATTGTATAATTAATGGTCAATTCGATTTAGGGGGTCAGTGAATAAACACCGATGCTGTTCAATCGTAAATATTTTAAAATTTAAGTATTGATTTTAAATGACGCTTTGGAGATACTGATATCGATTATGACCTGGAGTTCCGTAATTCGATAAAGGATATTCCTGAATGGATTATACCACCACTTTTTGCCCAAATTAAAATCATTGACAATCCAAGATAAGGTTATTGAATTATTAGTTGACCTTGAAGTAAATTTGCCTTTAATTAATTTAACTGTCAGTAAATTTTCGACGAATATTAACATTACGCCAAAATATTAAAAACTTTGTAGTGCGGCATTTGCCTTTTTAATTACATTTCCAACCTTATGTATGGTGAAATCTAGCTTCAGTCATGTTAATTCTTTTTTAGCAAACATGTGCTTTTTTATAATGCAATACTCTCAACTCGAGAAGAAGAAGACCGCTGATGCATAACCACCCGACCTGTAACTTCTGCGCCAGCTGGTTCTTCAGAAACAAAATGGCGTGTTAACATCACAACTATAAGGATTTTTTATGTCGGATATTTTCATTAATAAAGGAAAAAATAATAGCTCATATCTTTTGTTTTGCGAAATACAAAGTACCTTTATAATTAATTTACGAAAATTCTTTAGTTTCGAGATTATCGATCGATACGATAATCGATTTTGAAGATCGCATATAGACTTCAGATTTTCGGGTTAGTAGAATAATCGAAAAAATAGAATCGAAAGAGCAGTTGCTAACTATTCCATTGTTATTTTTATATATANATATATATATAAAAATATATATATAATTTTTCTTTGGTGGATGGTTAAAATTTCTAGTTGTGTTTCCATGTTCTGTAAGTGTGTATTGATAACTGAGCATGTAAGAAATATTTAAATTGTTAGTTGCATGACAAATGTATGCAACATTTGTAGTGTAGAGTGCGCAAAGTAAAAAAACGAACCACCCTGAATAACTTTTTATCTAAAGATCGGATCTTCACGTTCTAGGACTCAATCTTAATGGCTCGAGGGGATGACCTCAAATATGCTTAATTAATAGGTACAGACAATATTTTAAGTTACGAAATGAGACACATGAACGAACTTTCTCTTAATGAACATACCTTTTTGTCGACGGATTCGGATCCCCATAAAATAGGGGGTAGTAACAATTTGGGGATCCCTATGGTTTGGCCAGGAGAGCGCTCCAAAGTTTGAACCCCTTAACGTTAATTTTACTTTTTGCGTATTTCGCCGTATTATTGAGAACTTAAGCGAATTGAAAATTTTTTGCACACCATTACAAAATTCATTTATTCAAAATTAATTCCATGTAAAAAAAAATTTCAGTATACATTTATTAATTTTTATTATTTTATTTAATAATAGTTGAAAAATGTTTCAATTGTAAGGTATAAAATTTTCGACATCATTTTAAAGAATGCAATTTTAAATGACAAAACACAAAATGTGACCAACAATCGGTTGGAGAGTTCCTGGGAAATCGAATTATATAAGCATCTGACTCTTTTGAAAATTCAATTTCTCAGGAACTATTAGACCGATTTAGCTCAAATTTTGTATTTTGTCGTGTCATGTTAATTAGAATCTTTAAATTGATGTAAAAAATTGTATTCCTTACTATTTAAAAGTGTTTTGACTATTATTTAAAATTGCGACTAACCTTTTATTTTGGGGATCAAAAATCCATCGGAAAAAAGGTATGTTTATTCAAAAAAAAGTATGTTTTCATGTCTGATTACGTAACTGTGAAAAGATTTTGTTAAACAGAAAAAACAAAAGCAAAAAAATGCTGTAATTCTATTTTGTATACAGAAAACAATTTTAATTTTTAGAACAGTGACATTAATGTTTTTTAAAATGCTGGAAGAAATGTATACATAGAATATAGAATAGATTTATCGAAAAATAAAATAACAACAATCTGATAAATCTTTCATTTCAAAAATCAGTTTTTTCAATATCGCACAAATAAAAAAAAAAATAAATTACATAACACACTCTTTCTAATTTTTTCTAAAGGATTTCTTTTTTATGTCAATGTAAAATATACTCGTTAATACTCGATTATGATTTAAAAATATTTCGACAAACTTACATATACATAACTTTAATATTTATATACAAAAATTATATGTACAGTTATACCTTGGAAGGAAAAAAAATCTTTAGTAAAAAGTTTAAAAGTTGACCATGGGATATACATTTTTACGGTTTCATTTGTTTTTTTCTTTTAAAAAGCGTGAAAAATGTTTTTTTTCTTTTCTAAATTTGTTAAAATCATTTGTTTGTTCTTTTTTCTTTTTTTTTCCTTTTTGAAATACAGGAACATAAATGGCCAACAAATGACTTAAAAAAGTCAAACATACATCCATAAATATTTCGTTTAAAATAATATTAAAATAATATTAAATTAAGAAAAAATGAATGAAAAAAAAAATAAATGCACATGATAAACAAAACTTCGTTTCGAAATAGTATATTTGTTACCATGAAGAACCGAAATCAAGAGAATGTCGACTTTCACCGGTGAATGTCGCTTATAATCACATAGTCGCTTTAGGAAGTGTTCGAAATATTTGTTATATCAGATTTGATATTAATTTATTCGTTGATATTATTATATTTATTCGATATTTTAATATCTGCTTAGGATAGATTAGGAGAAACAGTTCGGATTCTTAAAATCAGCTAGGTAAAGTGCAGATGAACGGATATCAAGCATAAGCAGTAACATAGAGATAACTATGTGCAAAGGAATGACTAAAATAATCTAAAATCAGTTTGTTTAAGAATTAAGCTTAGCGAAGGCTCTTAGAGAAAGAATAGCGCAATACAGGCTCATTAAACTAGTAAAACTCAATTCAGATGGTCTTAATATCTTTCTTTGTTCTTCCTGACTTCAATAATGTTGCTTTGCAATCTGGAACATTTATGTTTCTATTTATATAAAAAAAAATTTGCGATCCACATTGCTAAGAGTTACAAAATTTAATTTTTTTAGCAATCTGAAATAATCAGGTTGTTTCGTAAGCACTTGTTGCACTTGCAATAGTGAGTTGTTTTTGCACTTGGAATCTTTAAATCATGTTACAAAAATTGCATAATTTATCAAAAATTGTACAAGTAACCATACATTTTTTCACGCAGTCAATATGCTTGAAGAATTCTTGTCCAAAATGAATTAAAACATTGTGCACATTAGGGGTCATAAATTAGTATGTAAGCGAAGAAGAGAAAAAAAGCTATCGAAATCAGTTGAATCGTCAGTGAGGAAGGCAAGACGGAAAATCAAAACCAGTTTGATTTCTTGGCCCTGAACAGTCACCAAAAGAGTTATAGTGACACGAGCCAAGTTATGGACAGTTAAAAAACAGCAAGAGCCAATCCAAAGACTTTGAACGATAACCTTTCATCTCCACACTGGTCACTTATCACTTTCTTCTGGAATGAAATCATGCTGAAATTTGGGATCGATTCAATATCTAACCACTACCTCTACTTAACTCATTTCTAGCGGCACACCACAACTAATCCCATACTGATTAAGTTTTAGAAGAGATTAGCTCATCTTCCAACTTCTGTTTTCTTCAGAAATCAAACAAGTTCAGTTGTTTCGAATTCTATTTTATCAGAAGTAATCGTTTAGATTTTGATAGCGGCGTTGTGTTTTTTCCTTGCTTAAATATTAGGGTCCGCTCGAATATTACGTAAGCACTTAACGGGAAAAAGGGTCTTTGATTTGTTTGTTTTTGCTGACAAGGAGGAAGAAAGGATAAGAGCAATGCTTACGTAAGAAGTACATTTAAGCTTCTTAAAAAGAAAAAAAAATCGTAATAAAAAATTTTGTTAAAAATTACATTTATTAAATTAACTGGAATTAAAAGTTAAATTTGAGAGAAAAAACAATTTGGACGAATATTTCTTCTAGGAATTGCATCAACTGTGAGAAATTCTTAAACTGAAAGCAATTTCCTAAAAATATTTATTGAAATATATTATTAAGAGAAAGAAATTCCTAAAAAATATATTTTACTTGAAATTTTATGAAAATGAATTGAACTGAAACACGATTTTTTTTTTTTTGCGAAGTTATATCGTTTATTTAAATCTAATCTTAAAATTAGATTATTCCAATAAAAGTCAAGCCCCGAAACAAGAAGATATTAGCATGGGAGGAAGTTTGTGGTTTTTACTGCCAAGGGGAAGGGACTGTCCCAAATAGCCAAAAACATGTATACGCAATATTTGTACGACCCCTTTTCACTCTGTAATTCCTAAGTGCATAATTTTTTTTGACAATGAATCGAAACGCATACATTAAGGGTGATTATTAAAGAACACTCCTGTATATTAAAGGCAGTCATTACAGAACTTGTATAAAACGATCCGTAAGATCTGCCTATAGACTTCAGTTTTCTCCCAACCTACTATAAGTCATCAGTTCTTTTCATTTCTAAGTGCTGCAAAACACTTACTCAATTTCGATGTAAACCATAAGTCATCAGTTCGTTTCACTTCAAGGTGTTGCAAAACACTTTCAGAATTTTGTTGCAAACGATAAGCTATCAATTCACCTTCTTTCAAAGTGTTACAAAACACTTTCACAAGTCGTTGCTAACTACCAAGTACTGTCTGGGTATTACGAGATGAGTTCTCAATGTTGAAAAGGTTTACAAATGCATAAATTAAGGGTAGTTATTACGGAACACTCCTGGATTCCTAAGTGTTGTTGTTTTTCGTTTGGTCGGGAATCCCAGACATGGCAACGCATAAGCAAAAAAACAATGCGAATAAAGCACAAATTAAAATAACTAAATTGGTATACTATAGTTTCAGTTCTATAAGCAGGGACCTTCTTTAGTGTCTGAACGTCAAAATCGATGTTGACGTTTAGACACTGAGGAAGATAAGTAGAAGAAAGCGAGATCTAAGGGACGGAAATGACGTCATCATGGAAAAATCTAAGGTTGCTTATTTCTGCCCATTCGGAAAACGAACATATAACTCAGGCGGGCAGAAATAAGCTGGCTTACGGTTTACGACATATTTAGGTATTTCACTCGGGCAGAAAAAAGCTCCATTTGACTTTCCATGATGACGTCACTTCCGTCCCTTAGATCTCGCTTTCCACTACTAAGCTTGTTGTTTATTGAACTGAAACTATAGTATGTCAATTCTTTGTGCTTTATTCGCGTCGTTTAGCTTGCATAGCACAAAATATTACTCTTTCTTTTGTTGAATATGGTAACACTTATTTGAATGGAGCCACTGTCATGTACTCAGGTGGAGGTGTCTCAGATTTTCCGTTCACACTAACGTGTGAATATGTTGTGTTGTTCACGTGCACGTCCACGTACTGAGGAGGCAGTTCACGCGTCGGGCTTTCTGGAGTCGAATTTTCGAATACTCCGTAGTATCCATGATTGGAGAAACCGAGTTCAGGGTTCTGTTCCCCAGATGCCAAAGTTTGTCTTCTGGAGGGTGGGGTGATGATGATTGGTATAGGACATCTTATTTCAACTTCACGATTCGAAGAGAGCATGCCTGAGTATTTGCAGAAGAGGGCGAAACAAACGGCGATGACCATGAAAACGAAGATTCCGAGCACTACAGAAATCCATATCACCATGGACAATGGTGGAGATTTTTTGTCCCAAATGTCCGGTGACGATGTCCAGTTATCGTCTGACATATCTGAGTGGAATACTTGAAGGATGATTCCTTCATCGTAATCGTCATCTGTAAAGATACATAAATTTCGTAAATTAATGTTTTTACTCGTAATTATTTTGCACTCTTATCACACTTGAATTACTAAATTTAATTATTAATTATTTAAATTAATTATGAATCATTTAAATTAATTATTTGAATTAACGATCATATTTTTAAGCATCAAAGATACTTAAAAAATAACATTCTGAGTGTTTTATTTATTTATTTTTATGTTTGTAAGTCGTTGCAAGGCGATTGTTTATGTGAAAATATAACTAGATTTATCCTGTTTCTTCATAGATTTTAATTACAATGAAAAATTTTAGGATAAGTTAGAAATTCGATTTAAGGATCTTGTTGTTCCCTTGATTCCTCTTGGACAGTTTTACAGCATATAAATATATTATTATTATTTGAAATTAGTGGATTTCGTTTTCATGTCCAATGAAGAAATATACAATAAATATATTCTACAATATGCGATAAAATACCAAAAGTTAAAATTTATCACTTTTATGCAATAGTTAAGAATAACTAAAAAAGGTAAATTAAGTTTGATAGATTATTTTTTTCAAAACAAGTATTGTTGTTCGTGCATTTTTATTGGCCAAAAAATCACGTGGTGGGATCCAGTATTTCAAAGTTATTTTCCTGTTCTGCAATTGTTACTCTTGTAATTCAAAGGTTTAAAACTAAGATAATTGTTTCCCCCCTGCCTATTATGTAATATAATAAGGTAATTATTAAAATAAGGTATGCCTATTAAAATAAGGTAATTCTGCTCTAGATTTTAAAGTCAACAATATTTAAAAAGGTGGTCTAATGTTATTAACTATTTTAAAATTATTATTTTTGTGCAAATAATATAAATATACTGTTATATATTACAGTTAAAGTGATCTGTGGAATGCTTCAGAACTTAACGATCAGCTTCATCCACAATGAGATGCAAGCAAAAACAGTCTTTAACATATTTGCACGTTTGGTAAGCGGAAATATTAAATTGTGGTTGTGAATTCATCAAATTTGTTTGAACAATATAATGCAATAACAAAGTAAATATTTTTAAAAAAAATTATTGCTTAGAAAAATTTCTTCTGCCAACAATAGATCCAAATATTTATAATACTGATAGATAAAAATCTTTGGACGTGAGAAGTTTTTATTTTATTTTATGACCGCCGTTGAACAGTCGACCCAATTTTTGGGTTTACGACTACAAATGTTCAACGCCGTAGCCTTGTAATTTTGAACCAATCCAGAAGACAAGGAAACTCCTGGATCGGTACCCCCAGAGGTATTGATTTGTAAAGTGGCCCATGGGGGGATGGACGTGAGAAGTGGAGGAAGAAGCGTAAGCAAACAGAATTCCTTTTAATACTTGTATGTTAAGTGAATGATTTTAACTTTTGTAAAAACAGTTTTCTGCCAAGAAACAACAATTATTGCGAAGCAATCATCGGGGTTGGAAAGCGGCAGCGAACAGGGATCTTAGCCCCCCCCCCCAGTGAGAAAATAATTTACAAGTATATATTATTAAATAAAGGATAAGTAAATAATTTAGGAGCAAATAGTTTTATAACTTTTTTGATGACAGCCAAAGATTATCGGATGTTCTTTGTTAATTAAGGATCCTGTCATATAATTAATTGGTTGCCAAAAAGGGGCTGACAACAGTGAAAAACGGTTTTAAACCATTATCTATTTTATATAACAAAGGGATATAAAATTTTTTATATGGTATATTATCAAAGGAACAATATATTCGATATAATCAAGCAAAAGTATCGATACCAGTCGATGATTGATGATATTGAACGCTTCCTCAAGAATATGGAGGAGAGTTTCTTTAGACCATTATCTATTTGAATGATTTTATAATAAAACTAATTTTAGGCCATTATCTATTTTGTATTACAAAGGGATATAACATTTTTTATATGGTATATTATCAAAGGAACAATATATTGATTATGCAGGGTTTGATTGATTATGTTCGGTGTCGAAGAAATTATGGTTTATTGTTTTGATGTAAATATAATTATAAGTTTGAAAATTTTCAACTGATTAAAAATTTTTTAAATTACACCAGGTACTCTGGGGTTCCTCGGAAAATCCGCTGGTCTACAGTACTAAAAACAATTACAATGCCAAGAAATTTGTATCAAAATTGTACAACAATACCAGTACAAACAAAAATGACCATATTCACTACTTAACGCATTTAACACTAATAAAATTGAGAATCTACATTACCAAGAGATATAAGAATACTAATAAAATTGAGAATCTACACTACCAAAAGAGATTACAATACTAACAAAATTGAGAATCTATATTACAAAAAGTGATTACAATACTAAAAAAATTAAAAAAAACTACATTACCAAAAGAGAATACAAGACTAATAAAATTGAGACTCTACATTATCAAAAGTGATTACAATACTAACAAAATTAAGAATCTCCATTACCAAAAGAGATTGCAATACTAATAAAATTGAGAATCTATATTACGAAGAGTGATTACAATACTAAGAAAATTGAGAAATTACATTACCATCCATTACCAAAAGAGATTACAATACTAATAAAATTGTGAATCTATATTACGAAGAGTGATTACAATACTAAAAAAAATTGAGAAATTACATTACCAAAAGAGATTACAATACTAAAAAAATTGAGAATCTACATTACCAAAAGAAATTACAATACTAAAAAAATTGAAAATCTACATTACCAAAGGAGATTACAATACTAAAAAGAATTGAGAATCTACATTACCAAAAAAGATCACAATGCTCACAAAATTGAGAATCTAATTTACCAAAAAATATTACAATACAGAGAAAAAAAATTGAGAATCTACATTACCCAAAATGATTACAATATTAACAAATTGAGAATCTGCATTTCCTCAAGAGATTACAATACTAACAAAATTGAGAATCTACATTACCAAAAGTGATTGCTATGCGAACAAAATTAAGAATCTACATTACCATAAGAGATTACAATTCTAAAAAAATTGAGAATCTGAGTACTAAAAATACTAAAGTACTATTGAGTACTAAAAATAACTGTATTACAACTATTGAGATACTAACGAAATTAGGAGTAAAGCCTTGTCGTATAGAAATGGAATGATAAAACTATAATTACCTGGTACAGTCTCTTCAAAACTGACACCGCATGTGATTGTCGAAAACAGAAGGACACCCCAAAAGAATCTTGTGAACATTTCCTTTAAAACTATAGAATATGAAATTTGTGCAGCTATTATTGTCTGATTCTGTTTACCACACCTACGACTGGGCAATGCATTTAACTGTTCTCATTCTTTTCTGAAAAATGAGCTATTATGAAAGATAAGACTAATCTGAAAAAGGAAATTTACTTTTAACGTTCTCACTCACTGATAAATTTCTGCTTTAAGGACACTACCCATAAAATATATTTTCTTTATTATTATCTATTTGGGGAAGTTGATAAACACCCCCGCACGACCTAAATATAAACCAAAGGAACAAAGAGATGTAATATTATTTATTATGAAAAAAAGGGTAAAAGAATTCTTGAAGAGAAAACTAAGGAATTAAAAAAAAAAATTATTGGAATTTCCTTTTTCTCAATTTTTTTTTCTTTGAAAATTTATAAATATTTAAATGATAAATAAATTCAAATGGCTACACTAAATAATTAAAATGACTTCAAAATTTAATCCATGCAATAGATTTCTTGATTTTAAAAATTCAGCAATGAAACGGTGCTGATAAAGACACTAATTATGTAACTAAAATTCACATAATATGTATAAAGTATTATGACAACTAACTAATGAAATTTAGAAGCTATGGTTACAAAACAAATGTAAAATTGGGGAAAAACTCACAGTTCAATTTTCATATGCATGAGAATTAAAAAAAGAGAGACCGACAATCATGGTTTTAGGAATGTTTTTAAGAAAATGATGGTAATTTGGAAGTTATGGTTATAAAACAAAATAGGGGAAAAACTCTCTGTCCAATCTTTATTTGAATCAAAATTTAAAAAAGGAGAGACCGAAAATCGTGGTTTTAGGAAAATTATGGTTATTCGGTGTATAGGGAAAATCCTTTTCTCAGGAGCAGGGAAGGGAACGGGATTCGAAAACTCCTCTGAGTATTGTTAGAAGTTGGAAATGAGTAAAAATTCAAGAAAATTGAAAAGAAATTAAAATTGAAAAGATCCTACAGACTATGATTTTAGGGAGAGTTTAGAAAAATTTATAGTTATTTGGGAGAGAGAAGTGTGGGAATTATCCCGTAAGGGGACGGAAACATTTTTTTTATTTATTACTATGCATACCCCCAAATTTTTTTTATAAAATTTAAACTTCTATTGATTAATTTCTTCTATTTTTCTTCGTTAAAGTATTAAGCGAGACAACATTCTAATGGCTTAGTAACTATTTTAATACTTATAACATTTCGATTGATTTATTATCTTAGAGATACATAGTAGAGACAGAATTTATAGAAAGTTTTCAAATATGTCATCAGCAATTTTCTGTCTTTAAAAAAGTTATAAGCGTTATATAGTATTAAAAGTTGTATAATAATTGGATTTTTACAGTTTTTTCTTGAAAAAAAAAGCATTTTTCCAGGAAAAAAAATGTAAAACACTTCCGGCAATTTTTTCAGGTAAAATCCTTTATTGCTTGGACTATAATAGGTCATTAAAGAAATTTAAATAAAAAATACAAGATGCATTCATATTGAAAAAATTCGATAATGCAGCTAAAATAACAAAAATCTAAGGGTTTTTTAAAAAAAATATTTAAAAAAACTATTTATACAACTTTTTTTGGACGAAATATAGATTAAAATAGTAATAAAATAATTATAATTATCCAGAAAAAAGAAAAATAATTCTAGAATTAGGAAAGAGAGAAAAAATTCTAAGAAAGTATTCTTACCTAACCTAAAAAACTTAACCCAACTAAAAGAACATGTTAATAGTTATTTTTATTAAAATTGCAAAATAAGAATAGTTTTTGTTAGTTTTTGAAAGTGTTGCATAATTACTAACTTGTACAATCTTCAAATAATAATTTTTTTTAGTGATAATGGTAACTATATTTCCGTTTTATCGAATAAATCTTGATTATTTAAATTTCATATAAATAAGCAAACAATATTTTTACATTCCTATTGAAGCGAATGAATAATTCGAAGAAGTTTCTTTCAGATTGATTAGTTAGGAAGATATTATTTTAAGTGTTCACAGTAACTTTATTATTTAGGCCAAGGTGCATAATTTTTATTGCTGCTTTGTAATACTTTCTGTTTCAATTATTATTTAACTACCACTTTGTAAAACCTTCTGCTTTAATTATTATTTTACTGCCACTCAATAAAACTTTCTGCTTTAATTATTATTTTACTGCCACTCAATAAAACTTTCTGTTTTAATTATTATTTAACTGCCATTTGTCAAACTTTCTGTTTTAATTATTATTTTACCACTTAGTAATACTTTCTGTTTCAATTATTATTTAACTGCCACTTCGTAAAACCTTCTGTTTTAATTATTATTTTACTGTCACTCAATAAAACTTTCTGTTTTAATTATTATTTAACTGCCATTTGTCAAACTTTCTGTTTTAATTATTATTTTACCACTTAGTAATACTTTCTGTTTTAATTATTATTTAACTGCCACTTTGTAAAACCTTCTGCTTTAATTATTATTTTACTGCCACTCAATAAAACTTTCGGTTTTAATTATTATTTGACTGCCATTTGTAAAACTTTCTGTTTTAATTATTTTTTTACAACCACTTTGAAATACTTTCTGTTCTAATTTTTTTACTACCATTTTGTGAAACTTTCTGATTTAACTATTATTTTACTGACAGTTTGTAAAATTTTCTATTTTACTGCCACTTTCTTAAACTTTTTGTTCTGAATATTATTTAACTACCATTTCGTAAAATATTTCCAAACGACTGTAGAAGCTGGCAGATAAGGTGTCGCAATAATCTTGACAAATTGTGGCCGCGTTAAGAGATGAGAAGATGAATGTGTTGAAATAACATAAGAAACAGAGGGACACGGTAATGCAGAAAAATTTATGATTCTTGTAGAATTTATTGCATGTATTTCAGACCAAAATAAACACTTTTAAATCAGATTTTTCCCCCACTCTTGCCTAACAAGACACAATTTAAGACGAAAAAAAAAATTCTTCACGTCATATTTTTAAGTATGACTTGAGGCACAGACAAACTTAAATCCCATGCAATTTATCACTTTGAAATTTTAAAAATAAACGTGATATCTGATGAAACGTGACTCCTAAGATTTATTTTAGAAGTACTAGTTAGTTAATATTCATTAAATATTACAGGGTAGCCGTAGCCCGGAAGAAATTAAAAAGTTGAGACAACTGTTAAAAAAGTTAATAAAAATAAAGGAAAGGTAAAGCATTTTATTTTATTTTATAACCGTCGTTGAACAGCCGACCCAATTTTATTGGTTTACGGCAGTGTTTCCCAAACTTATGACTTCTGTGTACCCTTTCTAAATTTTTCGTAACGCTGTGTACCACTAATTAAAAAATTGTGTTTTCTTAAAAATATATACATTTTTCTTTTTGGGTACAAAGTTCAATTAAAATTTTCTTTTTTGGTTGCTGTGATAAAAAAATTGCGCTAAAGTTAAAAATCACAACTGGCTTTTGACACCACTAATTAAACTGCTGTTTGTAGAAAATGCAACACCATGAAGGAATCATCAGAATCAAATGAAATATTATTTTAATAATGGAT